GTTTATCGCGTGACTTTATTTTAACGGTTAAGCTTTATTATCTGAATTTAATTAAATCTGTATTTATTTTGCATTATTATTTTCCGCCAATCATAAATTAACACTTTTTTCCCAATATTTCTGCATGGTTTGCTTTGATTTTTTAATATCCTTTAGTAAAAGTATCTTAGGAATTTATAACTCTCAATGTTTCGCATAATATAATATATTAACTTATTTATGCTGTCTGAAACGCTTTCAGAACCATAATATGCCATAAGAAAAAGAAAGCATTTTTTCAATGGGAAACGTTTATCTAAATTATTATTATAGGTTTAGATGATAGTACATATTCTAAGTGCATAAATCTACTTCACAGTTTGTAAAGCTAATAGAATATTTTTATAAGCTCTATAACAGATGAAAATTAAAGATCTGGGTCTTTTCCAAAAGGAAAAGAAAATCTGAACTATAAAACATTGAGTAAGGTATTTGTACAGTTAATTTATATTTTTATGTTATGAAGAAACTAGTTAACTGGAAATTTTTTACATAGTAAAGTTTCCTATGTTATTTGGGTATGTTATTTATAAAAAAAAAATCTTTGTTAATTCCTCTTCTATAAAAATTAGGAAAAATTCAGGTACAATGGAGTAAAGCCTTTTTTTCCACTTTATATTTCAAAACTGCTGTTAAAATGTAGGGTAGTAGGGTATGATGTGCTTTATTATAGTTTATCGTCTTATTGAAGTTAAACTGGAGATATCTTTGTGTTACTGAATCACCAGTCTTTTGATAGAAGTAAGGACTGCAGACAAATGATTAAATCATACTTTTTTTTTAATTCTGAAAACAATTTTTCACTGTTCAAGGAAAAGAAGAGAACAAGATTTACTGTTTTATAATACCCTTTAAAGTTTACTTGTATTTTCTAGAACGCATCTTCCATTGCATATGTGTTTATTATTAAGTTACTTACTTTTACGTAGTCTAGAAATATGAATCTCTTTCTTAAAGATAAAACAAAAATCACACAAAACAGTATTTTAATAAATGCTTTTGAATCTGAAGAAAAAAAAAAAAATTAATTCTGTCTCTCTGTAACCATAATACCTTCTTTATACCGACTTTCCCTGCAATAAGGGAATAAAATCCATGCCCTTCACAGATCCTTCGAGAGATAAATTTTGATTTTTTTTTTTTTTTTTTTTTTTTTTTTTTTACTGTTATTAAACCCTTGTTACTTTAACCATGATAAAATTTTCAAACCTTTTTAAATGGAAAGTTTTAATTACAGCTGGAAACTTTCTTGTGTGAGTTCAAATAAGAAAATGTTTTTAAAAATCTTTATCTGTATTACTATGAAAAGAGAAGTGGTGTATTGAAACTAATAATACGTGTCATTGATCAGATCATATTTGCTCCTACAGAGCAGCACTGTTGTTTAAGAAGCATGCGCCGAAGTATTCGAAGTTGGTTGAAAAATGGCCCTAAATTATATAAAAATATTCATGTTTTAAAAAAGGACCTTTCATTAAAACCTGCCAAACCAAAAACGTGATGGGAACTTTAATCAAAACTGGGGGGGGTCGTAATTTAGTACTAATCAAAACATTTATATAGTAAAAAAATAAATAAATAAAAGAGGTCAAGGATTCGAGAGCGGATGGTTTATAAATCTGAATTGCTTCTACGGTTATTATTTCAGTATAATAATTATAATCGCTATTTGCTTGTGTGATTACAAATGCTGCTCTTTTATTGAAAAGAAAAAAAATATCAAACGCTGTAATTTTTTCCTTACCGCAGGGCTTTTAGAGAAAAATGAATAGTGAATATATTAAAAACCTAATTAACATTTCGTTTGCAACATTTTAGTCTGGAAAGCATACAAACTGCCGTTAAAATTTTATAGCAAAAAAATATTTGCAAATTTTTTATCTGGAAAACAACATGCTGATTTGGAAAAAAATTATCTGAAGAATATTAAGGGTATTTATATCAATAAAAATCTGACTGAAGCAATAACATTTATCGTTAGTGTTATTGTCCTTATTTAAAAGGAAACTAGAAAATCAAGTTAAAGGTTTCATCGTGAATATTACGGTATAGTTATTCGAAACTATCAAATGTTTCTAACAAAGGGATTATGCGTAGTTGACGAATAAGATGTTTACAGAATTACACTTCTATATGTTTTCATTAATGTTTAATATTATCAATGACTAACTATCTCCCATATTGTTTTTTAAGGGTATAATCAGCACATTCAAGCAATATTCTTCTTGATGCTTAAGACTATAATCAGCACCTCCAAGTAATGTCGTTAGTGATGCTTAAGAACATGGCTAAAACATTTTCATTATTAGTATTAAGGAGAGAAGCAATGAGTACACAATTTTTTCAGAACAGTTACTTCTTTGAGTGCATTGTTGGCAATTTTATTAGTTATTATATCTTGAAAAATTTACATAACATTTTGCATAGCGAAATTATTTAAACTGTTTTTGAAATGTGAAGTGTGCGAAGAAGATTATGACAAATGTGTAATACAGTTTTAAACTGGAAGCATTCCCCCCTTGCAACTCTTACATTTCCCCTGGCGGGAATTCCCCCCGTTTGAGAGCCCTTGTTTGTGAGTATATTGTTTATTATTCATAAATTTTAACAATTTTTCTTGCTTTTAAATCTTGCATTGTAAGCAAAAAATGCTTAGTTTGATTGTTAAATTAAGATTTAAGATTGGTAATGATATATAGAACACCAGACTTTGATTATTAAAACAAAATATTTCAATTATAATATTTTAAACTCAGTTAACAAAACCCGCCACGAATAAAGTTCACTATTAACTATACTGGAGACGAGTTGCTTATTAAAATTAAGCCCAGAAATTTGTACGCGATGATACTGTTTTCTACTGCAAGATTCTAGTTTCTTATGAATAAAAATGTTTTGTGAGGAGGATAAAAATACAGCTTAAATATCGTTGAACAAAAATTAATATTGCATGACAATAATGATACTATAAAAACTGCGATCTTCTTATATGAGATTATGTGGACTATATCTGTTTAACTTCTAAAGATAAAAAGAAGGGGAGAGAAGAGAAAAGAAAGAAAAAGAGAAGAAACTTGAAAGCACGAAAGTACAGTGAAATTGGACATTAATTAACATGCACTGACTAAACTATGTTAGTAATTTTATTGTTTTCTATATTTTAAAAGAGATAAAAAGTTGGGATTTTAAGTGTACTCATGTACAAACTCGCAGCCATGTTGTGCGTAATTTCTTAACTCCTGAATTTGGTCTCTAAATTATTATAATGGTATCACATTAATTAATTTAAGAAATGATAATTTTATACATATTTCACCAGCTCATGGTGTAATCAGTTAAGGCTTGGCACACCCACTACAAATATTTTTTCTTCTTCTATGTTATACACTCATGTATATCCTTTACATCTTTATTCATATTTTTACATTTCAAACTAACACACCAATTAATATAAGATATTTTTACATATTATGGTAATATGCAATACTTAATTAAAATAATATTATTTTGAACTACAGTGCGATGCTTGGTATACATTGATATTACGTAGAAACTATAAAAATATCCGATACTTAATTACTACTAAATTTTAGCCTAAAGTATTGTATTTATAATACTGAAATTTATGACCAAATTTTATTTTCTACATCTTCTCCTTTTGTAAGTTTAAATATGTAGAAAATATTTTGCATGTTATATATGCAATGATCAACAATCAAACATTTATAAATTGTATATGAATTATTTTATTTAGTTATTTAAGTCGCTGAATGCTATTTAAATTATTTTAAATAAAGGATTAGTGCGTTCGAATGCTCTCAATGATAAAACATTTCATAATTCCTAATATCAGATATGAATCATGAGCTTGCAATTATTCTGATTTTCTTAATGAAATTTATGTTTTTAATTTGCAGTCAATACATTTCTAATTTGGGGGGAGAAGGCTTCTGAGGGACAAAAACAGAGTAAAATGGATTTTTTTCTGTAATGGAAGAACATTTTATCAGATTATTTGTTTTATTCTATCTATTCTAACAATTCTTCCGATTTGCTTAGCAGAAATAAACTAAAATATGTTGATTAATATTTACTGAAAATTTTGAAACCAATCAAATTTGTAGAAGTTAAACATAAATTAAGGAAAAAAAGTAATGGCAATAAAATAATAATAAAATGCACGTACTCTAGAAAAAAGGGCTTTAATAAATATTCTGTATTTTTTAGTCAAGTTCAATTCCATTGTAAATTGAAGGTTAAACATATACAATGAAATTCCAAGAAGCTGCAATTCAACTGCCCCTATTTGAACTTTCAAAATTAGGGAAAAACCAACCACGGTAAAAGGTTTTGAGACAAGAAGAGCTGCTATAGTGTCGCTAAAGATGCATTGTGCTTTTACTATACATCTTCAAACGGCATTTGAAAGACAATGAATTAAATGCACTTTAGAAGGAATTCCTTTTGACCTCTTTAGGATTTTATTTAAAGTATATGTCAAATATTTTATCATAATGAAATAAAGTGCTTTCTAGAGAAGCTCAGTAAAGAGGTAAAAAAGGTGAAGTAAAACTAGGTTTTGATATCTTAAGATGTTGCTTCCTTCATTACTAAATTCCACACCCCTCAAATAAAGGCTCATATTATCAAACGGGAAATTTGGGCTTTAATGAACTGTATGAGGGCAATTACATTACGTCTATCGCATTAAATGTACATTAAAAGCTTAGGAAAAAATATCTTGGTTTTAACTCTCTTTAATTTTAATTAGAATTAATTTATGTAGTTTAAATAAATAATTCTTTTTCTAATTTTTATTATTTATATGGTAATACATTTCAGTACATAAATATAACTGTAGTTATTCACTGTACTTTGTCACTATCTTGCCTTAATCTGTAATCGCAAAATTATTGATGCGACATTACATCCACGGCTTGTGTTTTGCTTCTGTTTTGTAGGTCCGAATGGCTGTCCAAGGCGTCGTGGTCGCCAGACATACACTCGATTTCAGACACTTGAACTGGAAAAAGAATTTCACTTCAACCATTACTTGACTCGACGGAGGCGGATCGAAATAGCTCATGCCCTCTGCCTAACAGAGAGACAGATAAAAATATGGTTCCAGAACCGGCGGATGAAACTCAAGAAGGAACTACGAGCGGTTAAAGAGATCAATGAGCAAGCCAGATTAGAAGCCAAACTAAAAGATCAAGACGACGGAAAACGCAAAAATAGCAGCAGTACTACTGGCAATAGCGACAAGAAGGATTCTTCCACATCAGCTGCTGTTAAAGATCAGCATACAGAAAAAATTAAACATGAAACCGACGGTGATCCCAGAGGAAGACGGGAAAGTTTACATGATGAGGACAACGATTCAAGAAATTCCACTAACACAGATATTAGTACCACATCTGTGGGAGATATTGTGGATACGAGTCCTGGGGTGGATCGCCTAGTGGCTAGACCGCTGATTCCTAGCTCTGACGAGGCTAGCTTGCCGTAAATTCAACCCCTATGGTTCACCTGGACTCGGAGGTTCGGCTATTGATTAACCGATATACGACGTTTATTGATACAAAATACTCTATGTTGCTGCTACTACTAATATCGTAGTGTTGATTTTTTACTTAGTTCAGGGTCGAAATGAGAGTGACATTGCCATTTTAGGGTTCCCACGCTGATGCACAATGTTCTGAATTTAACTCTGGTAATATTTTCCACGTGCTCAATCTGACATGTGCTTCGATTACTTAGGTTTGATTTAATTCCTTCATGTGAACCTCAGCACAAGCAGCTATACGCCTTTCCGATATACGTAGTAGATATTACAGATTAATAGGGTACATTTCCTTCGTACAAAGTACTTCACAAAGTCAGCATCTCAGTCTCTTTTGGGTCAATATTAAATTACCTTTCAAATCAAGTTTCAGATGAAAGTTGAAATTAAATTGTATCAATCATTATACAAATATTCTCTTACTCTTTAGATACAGTTACCTCATGTGGGAGCCCTACATTTCATAAGAGTATGCAAAGAACGTTTCAAGATGAGATGTGTTTAAAATATTTCATTTCGTAATATATGAATGGTCATTAGAAAATTCCATTTGTCTAACCCCCATTCTGCTTAGGATTGCTACAAGAACAAATCATCATAATTTTGTATTACGTCTTATCATTGAGTGTTTCTATACGTATTTCATCGTTTTCTACTTCATGATCAGAAAATGACTGTTATCAATTAGTTTCATTTTCATTAATGTTAAGAGTTAAAAACAACGTTCATTGAAATTATTTAATTGTTTTTATCAGTGACTCAGTGGTTGTTTGTTGTTGTTTTATTAAGGATAACCTAATTTCATCCCCATTTTATAGTCTATAGTACGTTCATGATTTTCAGAACTCCCAATATTTATGACTTATTTAAACTTGCAATACCAGACTAAAAATTTTTAAAAAATCGACTGCTTCGACATGTATTACACAATATATTTGTTTGCAAATATGCTTTGTAAAATGTGTATTTATTTATCTTCAGTACTGATAATGTAGATTGTTAATATATCGACATACTCAAAAGCAATGAATCAGTTTTTATTTTTTTTTTCCGGCAAGAACTATTAAAATGCCATGTACTTACAGTTTACAGATTTTTACTAAACAGAAATTTGCTCAATTTGTTATAAATATAAAAAATTAAAGTACTTTCACAATTTATACTTTTTTTTTCAAATTTCTTACTTTTTTATTAATGTTCTGTTTGTTATCGTATAAAAATGACATTTCTTTTTGTATAAAATTTTCATAATAAATATTTTTCCACTCATTATCCCAAAATTAAAGGCAGTGTACTTATCATATGAAAAATAGAAGTTATGCAAAAGATAAGTATAATTACGTTGTTCAGCATAAATACATTTCGTACTAGTCGTTTATACTTATTTTCAAATTGAGTTCTGCGTAAGGTATCAAAGAGTTTAAAATTTATTGCTATGAATCCTGTAATGAAACTCGAAGTTCTCAATATATTTCATTGCTTAATTTTGGACTATATTTTTTTCCCGTTAAACAATTAAAGTTTTGCATAGTTGTAATTCATAACATTTATATTTTATAGCAACATTTAAAAGTAAACTTTACTGGGGGTTTTATGATCTGAATAGAAGCTATTTTCGAAGTTATGAAAACTAAAACTGACTCATTGCACTAGTTTTTTTTTATTCATATTACTTCTGCTTATGTTTTAGGAGTTGTATTTTAGGATGTAATTATAAATGTTAATTATTTCACACGATGATGATAAAATTCTTCTAAGTTTTGTTGGACTTGCGTTGTTGATTGCTGTTAATATTACGTTATCATTCTGAATAAAAAATTTTCGGTGAGTTAATTTCTTTTACTTTTGGAAGTTAAAAATCTTTAACTCGGTTGCTGAATTAAATCTTTGCAATACATGTTTGCAATAAGTTTGAATAGTTTATTTTACGTGAGCTTATTCTAATGTAACTTGTTATTTTTAGCATTTTCAATAATTATTTATCGAAAAACTGTATTTAATATCAATTTTTCGGTGTGCTTGTTACTCTGCACTAAATGTGATCTTTCAGCCTTATTGTGGTATAGTGTTAATAAAATACTAAAATTTATTATCGATTTCATTATTTATAGTTTTCGCTTAAAGTTTTATAGCTTGTTCTCAGCTATCTTCCATTCTTGTATAACATGCATGATTGCTGTTAAACAATGGAGTAAACTGCTCGATTTATTTTACCGCTAAAATGAACTTAAGAATCATCTACGTTGCTTTCAATAATAAAGTAAAGAACTCTTGTCCAGATGTGGGGAAATGTTGTGAATTCATTCACAATATCTTTAAATCAAAATAGTGGTGCTTCGAGTTAACAAACAATATACTCAACGCCACGGATTGAGACTCCTTATAGGAAAATTGACACTCCAAAAAAAAAAAAAAAAGTTTTAGAGATATTGTAGTCTCAAGAAAAGAAGTGATTCATAAAGCCCTCTCCTCGCAATACTAAGAAAAATGAAAGCAAGGTTTGGTTAGGTTACTAATTAAGGCAGAGTAAATCGAGGACTAACTGCATATAGAGAGGCATGCCTTTGTGAAATTCTAAGGAAAATTATGCAAACAGCCTGTTCGTCGGTATTTGTACCCATGTCGAACTACCAGTGTTCAGAGACTTTACCGCTCGGCCACTGATGAGCCCGAATACAAGATGGCGTGCTTTGCGGTATATACTTAAAATGTAAATGGGCGAATGAGTACTTACAATCATTCTAAATTATTAAATCATTTAATTTTTTTAAAATTTCAACTGAAATAATACAAATCATGCAGGTATGTAAAATTTTAATAAATAAATAATGAAAGTTAAAGACAGCTTAACAGTTGCTTTTAATTCACTAAAAGCAATTGTGACTATAAAATGAACTTAAATTTTATCAGAAACGATTCAAAGAAAACTTACGGTGCAATGAAACATATCCGCCTCTAAAAAGAGCCTAAAAAATATTTCAGACAGCTCCGTGTGTTATCGATTTGGCTTAAAAAATGTATTGCATCTAATGTAGCTAATATTTAATCTCTCTCCTCATTCTGACAACGACATGTTTTAAGAGACAGATACGATTATGAATCAATAAAATAAAACATTATATTTCATCGTCTTACAAACTTGAGTAATTAGAGCTCCAAGCTTTGAATTCGTGTGAAATAGCAGTTTCACTTTTTTTCCATTGTTACTCAATTCAGAATTATAGAATTTATTAAATAATAAACTCGCTAAAAACCGCTTTTATTTAAATTATTGCCATAAAGTATGCGGCTATGTAGGAAAAGTACATTATGAATTTGCTCTCATTGAAGAGCGGAAATAATTCATCGTTAAATTTTCAGAAAGTGAATTAAATTAAATTCAGCGGTAAATGAAAAAGTAAATAAAAACTTATGAAATAAATAAAGACTAATGGACAGACAAAAGAAACAGTTCTGTTAGCTCTTTCTTCAAATATTTTATTAAAATGGATTTTAGGAATTATATTTAATATGCAATACAAAAACGAAATGCATTTTCATTGTTTTTGTTCAAATCATTGACTTCGGGGATGTAAAATTAAGAAAGCAAACTCCTGTGTTAACAGTCAATCATACATGTTTTTTTCATAATTAACATGTTTGACCTTTTCTTTGATGTGCATATAAAAATTGCGTCATATATGCATTGATCCCATTCTCCTTTAATTAAAGGCAACAGTTTTATCTCTCTTTATGTTCAAATTTGTTAAAATTTGTTATGTTATTGGACATATGGTTAAGTCCATATGGGTAAATTTTTAAATGACCGTCGAATTTCTGTAATTAAGAGACAAGTGAAGGGTCTACGTGTTATTTTTACTGGAAACTGTACGGGTCTGAAAATTAGTCTTCAGTTGAGTTTTGGATAAAAATCTGTTAGCTCTTTGCTCCTTAGCTGACCAGTTTAGTCAAAGAATATTGCGCAAGCACTTTTCTGTATTGGAAAAATAAATTTTTATTTTCGCAAATAATTTTGTCTTTAGATACTGCTAAGTGAGCTTAATAATTCCCATGCACGAAATTCTGTTTAAGTGATAAATTGTTGCCTTAAAAATACTTTATCTTTTTTCTTCTTTTATCCTGGATTTCACGCATTTCAACATATCCTTCCTGAGCTACTGCCATAATCATTGTTGCTCTCATACTGTTCTTTAGATTTTTAGCATACTAAATATCAATATACGTACAACGTATATACGTAACTTGAAATTCAGATAGTACGAATGGAAAAAAAATGAAATACTTTTGAGTATTTTGAGATAAACCCTCAAGAAGTTATTTTATAATCCCATTTAGCTATCTTGTTGGAATGAAACTTTGCTATGTTTATCTCAAGTACTGTAGAATTAAGAGAAATTTTGTAATTTAATTTACTGTAACAAAAGCTATCAAGTCTTTGGATATAAAATACGTTTTGCTTGACAATCGGAATATTTCAGCTAAATTTGAGGTTTTCATAGAAAACAAATTATCAGATATTAAACTCAATATCCAATTAAAGAAGGCATTTGATATTTTAAAGACTAGCTTTCCTTGAAGTCTGGACATTGTTTATTATTCTTTAAATTATATAAAGGGTAATTTTTCCCTTCTGACTTCTCAGTTTTCTTAGGTTCCATCACTGTGAAATTCCGTGAACTTAATGGAGTACTTGATAACATCAAATAATTCCAATGGGATAAAAAAAAGACAATAATGAAATAACTTTCATGCATTAAAGTTAAAATAAGTATTTTAGCAAATACAAGTACTAAAATAAACAATATAGTATTTAAATAATTCATAATATTTAAAGAATGTTTACTCTGGTCAGATGTTTCCCTTCGATAAAAAATGTAACCACAAGGAAAACATTTGCTGTATGTTGTAATATATAATCCAATAACGAACATCAAATTACAATTTTGCAGCGTAAATATTTTACATTTTTTTAAATAATAAGTTCTCTAATACGCCATCAAGCCTGTAACACACATATAGCTTAACGCAGTACAAAATAAAACTACTTACGAGGGCTACTAAAATACTCCATTAACTATGCGACACACTTTTATTTTCTGCAAAATTTTTCGTTCGATTATTAAATGTTATTTTTTTATTTAATAATAAAATTCGATTATTAAATGCATATTCTTTTACAAGCTTCTTCTTTTTTTCTTTCACAAAAGTTTAAAAAATAACAACTCATTTATTTATTTTTATAAAATTATTGTAATTGCGTATTTTCAGTTTCCGATAAGATTAATGTTCATGAAAATCAACGTCATCAAATAATTATTATAAAAATTTCGCTTGTAATGAATTCAGTATGGAAAGCAGAAACAAATGCACAGATTCATTGTATGAAGCCTTTTTAGATAGTTACATGAATGTGTTGAATCTTATTTTTCAGATTTTTTATGTATTTAACTATTTCCCAGCAGCATTCTTCTAATAAAGCAGAATTCTCAGTAGTCTGAAAGGAATTCCTACGCTCAAAGCTGCAGGGACCATACATTTGTTTTTAAGTTTCCCTCAATTTTTAATTTTTTAAATTTAAGGTGTTGAATTTTTCATAGTGCAATGGATGTAAAATACACAGTGTGTAATTGAAAAATACCTGCATTATAATATGCCCTATTAATATTGTTACTAACAGCCTTCTTTTCTATTTATTCTATTTAGAATGAGTCATGATTTTAAACCAATACTGAAATGTATACTTTTATTCGTAAACAATTGTTCACTTCTTCGCTGCGTCCAAGATAAGGACATTATGACAATTAATTTAACTATCGCACCAGATATAGAGGTGTATGCCTTAATTTCTGAGAAATTTAATTACATCGATTGTATTTTTAGTGCAAAAGAAAAAGTGTGTTGTGAACGGTGAAATGTTTTGTCTTTATTTTATATCCATAAGCAATAGATTCTCAAGTATCCAGGTATGAATGCGAAGTCGTCGACCTTCAGTGGTTAAAGATTTCGTCGAAGTGTATCAGCTATATATATAAATTTTTGAACTTTAGTGTGTACAGTCAAGTATCCCTGTTTATGTATAATGTTCAAGAAGGACTGCGTACATCTTGCACCTGTGTGTGTGAACAATTTCCTGAAAGAGTGGTTTTGAAAAACAAATCAATGTTTTAAAAAATCCCTCTTGGTATCATACGTATTTATTCTACCACATACGTCAGTCGTCAATGTTGTTGGTAAAAAACATTTTATCATTATATATAAATATATGTATATGAATGCATATACGTATATATATATATGTATAAAACATCTAAACTTTTACAACGTTTCAGTGGCTTGGCATGCAATATACAGCTGAAATCGGCTTTGTTGTTCGCGTCTTACTATCATTGTTAATTCTAGTGTGACATGTGCGTTGTAAACTTTTTCTATTGTTCTGTTCGTTTGTTAATAATAATTATTGATTATTAAAAATTTTTGAATGCTTTCTCGTAGAAACAAGTCCATTGAATGGATGAGAAAAGTGTAATAAATACTATGCTACGTACTACCACCCAGTTTCAGCGCCATCGGGTTGAAGACTGTATTTAATTTTATTTCACTCCGGAATGACATCAGTTTCATTCCTCAATTTGTCTTTTTATGCAGTATTTATTTCTTTCATGCCGAGATCATGGCTACTGCTGATGTCTGCATAAAATTAATAGAGATGAAAATATTAACTTTTTGGAATTTTGAATAATCGTGAAGCTGTTTAAACATTATGATTCATGTACACATCAACATGTGAAAAGAATTTTAATTTTACGTTAACTATTTATCAAAACAGGTACAACTATTTAATAGATTTATTGAAGTAGATTATGAACTTCTCATTACAGTAAATTCTGAAAAAAGATTTGACACAAGTTGACGAAAGTATTTTTTCGACCTCAAATGTATTTGAATTCTTATCAGATCAAAATGCATGATTTATTATGAAATTTTGATTTCTAATTCAGCTGTGCTATTTTAGAGCAGTGCAACTAATTTTAAATCTATATTGTTACTACTGTCACCATGCGTGTCATGAAAATAATTAGAATAAAAGTTTTCAGTTAAAAACAATTATAAAAATAAGTTTTTATGATAAATAGTGTTGAATAACTGCGCAGTTATGACTACACAGAAATTATTTTTCTAAGTTTCTATTGGAAAACGTTTATATATCTAAGTTTCTATTGAGGAAAAAAATAAATAAAAATCGAATGTTCATCAGCAGCAGTTATCCTAACTTAAAGTTCACTACACTTTCAACTTGTTTTGCGCTGGAAATGGGTGCTTAGCCTGTAGAAATTTCTTAGTTGTTGAAATGCTTCTATGCCTGTAAGTTCGTGTAGCTCTACAGTCTGATGAACATACGTCATATACGTTAGTACTTACGGACATAACTCAGAAGACTGGTCAAATAAATATACATCTCTAGAAGAGTATTCTGTGTGTTTTTTTAGAGTCATTTTAAATTGTTCACTTATTATGCACCATAAAAAAGAACATATCAGGGTTTCATTAAAAAATAATTTTAATTATATAGAAGTTTTCATTACACATTGAGAATCTTGAATAAATAACGCAAAGCGAATAATATGGCTTAAAATCCTTTTGATATACAAATTATAATCATGTTTAAATAAGACAAAATCAAATTTGCTGTTACACTATTGTTATGTAATGTTTATCCTAAATAATAATGTAACAAAGGATTACACCACAGTAAATGTTAGAGGTATATTTTTTATATACCAGGTACCTGTATTTAAACTAGGTACGTAGTTTAGGAAAATGCGATTGATAAGTTCTAGAGCGGGGTTCTCAACCTTTTTTAATCCATGCAACCCTTTCACCATTACTAGAAGATAATTTCCATCTCCTTTACAAAACTGGGAAATAAATACATTTATTTAGATTTAGATAACTTTTTAACGTGTTTTTTTAAATTAAACAACAAAACGTGTGGAAGATGTTGATAAATACCAAAACTTGAATAAAAGTAGTTTTTCACATTCATACACTAAATACTTAACAGCTAAATAAAAGGCTGACTGCATCCCCCGAAACAATAAAATCCCCCAGGGGGAATTTTCCCTGGTTGAGAACCTCTGTTCTGGACTAATACAAGCAATAAGTTTGTTATTTTTTATCTTGATGAAAGCCATTTTGGTAGGTGGAACTGGTACTAAATAGGGAAATCAAGCTATAGCACAATTTTTCCGCAACATTATGTTGTAATATTTTCATTTATATAAACCAAAAGTATACGTGGCAGAATAGATGCTGTTAAACTCAAACATTTAAAAATTCATATATCTGTAAGTATGCGCACTTTATAATTTAATATATACTTTTAGAAATATGATTTGTTTTCATCATGAGAATCAATATTGAAAAATAAATATTTTCAAATGCTCAAGTTTAAATTAAATTTCTAAATGTGCATACAAAGATAGAAGTGAATATAAACGCATATAAACACGCACATAATCGAGAGTGTAGATAATAACTAAGCCTCGTATTCTCAACTTTTACCCGTAGAGAATTTGTAGATGTTCAAATTAAAGTTGTTGGTAAATTCCATGTTTAGCGTTTTTTATTTGAATTCGATAATAAGTTTGTATTGCTTTCAGTACAAATAGTAGACCCACATTCTGTTATAGAGCTGTAACTCAAAGAAAAAGCACAGCTCACTGAAAATTAAATTAAACCTAGATAAAATAGATAACAATTGCATTCCGCTGTTAAATATGCCAGCAGCCGCTTTCACTTTTTTCCTTAGCAATGAACACCTCGCCCCACAGAGATTTTGCGTTTCATCCGCTGCTCCATCTTCCATCAGTATCCCCCGTACTGACAAAATCTTTCTTGTTTCATCCTCTGCTCTCTCCCCATCCACCTCATCAGTATTCCTATAGACGGAAGGCTGAATTTTCTCCGATTCATACCCTTTTCAAAAAGTTGTTATTCAGAGGGTCATTTGTTGAGACAGGGAACATTGCGTGATAAATGCCAATTGACGGGGCACTTAACAATCTGATCAATACACCAATTGCTGTGAAGTAATTTCGGAGTGATTCCCAGGCGTGAAATGCGACATACTTTTTTGGGTTCATAACGAAATATAGTAATACTGCAATTTTAAAAAATCACAAGTAACTGCACATACAGTAGGTTTCTAATAAAATTTTATAACAATATGGATATATATTTATAATTATATGTGTCGCAAAATTCTGATTTTGTTGTTTTTAGATTCTAAGTATATATAATATTATATAAATTTATCATTCATTAACAGTATTTTGTATAATAATAGGTAAATTATTGTTAATGTTTGAAATTTTAATTTTTTATAACTTATCATGCATTAGTTGTGCATTTGTTGAATTCCCATGGACATGTATCAGTTATCTACGCTGAAAAATATGTAGAAAACAATTAAGCTTATGTAATAGCTGTCTGTGAAGGAAAAATTACAGTTATATTATACTTAAATTTCTCTTATAATACAGAATCTTTTGTAATTGACATTAGATTAAATTAATTAATTACCTATTATAAAATAATTGTAGTGAATTCTGTATTCCGACCTGTTGGAGAGGTCACCTTCTGAAAGAAACCTGTATTTTTGAGAACATAAACAAACAGTGAAACCCCCCTTCTCTAAGACTCCAGCACCCACAAAGCTCCCAAATCATCTACAACCGTGTATGGTCACTTTTAAAGAAGGCTTACTGCATTTTTAATAAAGCAGATACATTAATCTTAATTATATATTTATTACTTTTTTATTTTTTATAACTTATTGTCTATTATTTTATTATTATTACTTTTTTATTACTTATTATCTTTTAAAACAGTGCAACCTTTGCTCTATCACTTTAAACGTACATGAAATTTTAAAAAAATTAACACTATATAACAAAAACGTAACTAGATTCAGATAGACACTTTTTAAGCACACCTGAAATTCATTACTCTGCTTAGCGTAATTTTTCTACAAGAAATATTTAATAAATATTAGAAAGCAAAAGTTAAGACCGGTCAAAGTAGTAAGGGTTACCTGGTTTAAACCGTTTTAATTGATGAAAACAGGTGTTCTACATCGTAAAATGACTTTTCGAAGGACGGTGAAACGGGAAGAGAAAATCTTTGGGGCAAGGCAGAAAGAAACGGCACTATTTTTGAACTGGGGATGTAACGGGAAAGGGAAAATCAGTGGGGCAGCGATTGAAAAGACAGCGGATGAAATGGCACGATTTCGATCTGAGGATGAAATAGGAAAGGACGAAACGACACTAAGCCGACCTCATATAATGAGAAAACGCAGCCAAGCCCATGTCCTTTACGTCACCACTTGACGAGGGAAATGAGAATGAAGTATCCTATAGTGTGTCATGAGGATTTTTAGTACCATCGTTTGAGCGTTTTACTACGCTTTCATATACCGTGCATTATATTTGAATTGTATATTCTAGGGAGTATATAACAGAAGCGAAGTTTTATATGACAGAATAAACGACACAGAATATTAAGACCTCGTATATTGGTTTCACTTTCAAACTTTATAAAAATGTTTGCTACATTTGATTCATTTATTGTAGTATGAATTACATGACACTGGCAGCAGCCTTATGCTTTTCTGCAACATATTTAACACAATTCGTACGCAGTTTTAAGACGTTAGCCTTTTTAACATTAAAGTTCTTCAAGGTCACTACTCATACAAGTTTGGGGAAATCAAAACCACAAATTTAATGAAAATATCTGCAACAAAACTTTACTGTTTGTTTAACTTTTATAAACATTATTCAACTAACATTTTTTTTCACATAGCAGTCTTAAATCCCAGTGATGTATTACAAAATAAATTACAAATATACTTTCATTTGTTAGTTTTTGACAATTAAGAAATACACATTGCAGTTGATTTATATATATTTAATATCTATTTTTTCCAAGAAAACATAGGTCATTGTTTATCCTTTTACAGAATAATACTGTTTGTTATTGCTATGAAAATGGTTTACAAATTATTCCCAGGCAACATCAATCAGATTAAAATCACTCGGATTAAGACTTCATCATTTTGATGGCCGGGCCATGATAGCTATTCCCCCCCCCCATTACTCTTTTTCCGAATCAGACACATATCACTATGCGTTATTTTTCTGAAAATTTGAAGGACAAAGTGTTTCTCATCTTGTTCCGTTATTGCCTTCGTTCAACATAATTTAAATATATTATAATCTTACGAATACTTCTTTTTTCTAAATTAGTAAGCAAATAAATTTGACTATTACCGTAGGCTTCTAATCCTCAAATACAACTTTCTCTTCTTTAGCTTTCACTGATATACAACCTAGTAAATTATTTTGGACAAACGTTGAATGATAATCGAAATTAAACGACTTCTGCAGAAGCTATTCAGAAGTAGGTTTAAAAATAACAGCCTTAATGCTTGGGCAACAGATTAAAAAAAATCTGAGGCGGTGAAAGCATATTTTATACAAAATAGGATTTTAACGGATATATACTAAATAGAGATATCCTGTAAGCAAACCAACCATACTAATTCTAATCTTTCCTATTTCCTTTAATCATAAAAGCAAGCATAAATTCTAAGTTTTTAAATTCCTTTTTCATGAATGGAAATACAACAAATTTTCATGGAAAATGTTCAGTTTATAAATTAAAAATAAAAATAAAAATGCTGTTCCTTGCACATTTTTAAATACATAATTACAGCACACATTAAACAAGTGAGTGCATTTTTCAAAAATTGAGGAAAAATATCGAAGTTTAAACTAAAACATTACATTCTCAGTTCCTGTTGGTATATTGAAAACAAACCTATTTTCTAAATGTTTTAAACACATTCGTAAATTTATTAAAATATTCTTGATAATTCCATAAGCGCAATGGCAATGATACTATCCAAAAAAAGGATGGAGGGGAAAGTGTAAAACTAAAACTCATTTTACATGTTGTATAACTTATATTACTTGTATCACATGAAATTGATATTTTATAATTTGTACCACATCAAAACGCACAATATTTTGCGAAGAATCAGAAAATGAACAATATACATTATTACATGAAAATTAAACTGTGGTGAATTTTTATTTTCGTAATTTTTGTTTCTTAAAATCTGCTAACCTTCCATAAAGTCTGGGGATAACTTGTCAAAAATATTTATCTGTTAACCTAACTATGCAAAATGCTTGTGTTTTCTCAACATGAAAAAATTTTTAAATATTCTTTGTATAAAATAAATAATGCAAACATTTCTATTAAGCACGCTAAATTGTGTTTGATTTTTATTTAACGGTTTACTTTTTCTTATAAATAATATTTAAACGTTTACCTTTAGTACCGTTTACAAGAAGTGCAGAAACAGGGTATCAGCATTTTCCTCATTAGAATTAGTTGCTAAAAATGTTTAATAGTTGGTAAAACTGCATCAGTACAGATGAAGATCCTAAAAAAAAAAAAATGGAGAATATAGGAAAACACAGAAAAGCATTAATCAGTTAAACAGAACAAATTTGACTCGGATTTAAATTTTTTTATTACTTAAAATTAATGATGCTATAAAATAAAAGCAGATAGTTAAATTAAGAATATATAAAACTAAACAGCTATGTTATTAAGGATGCTCTTGCAATTAATTTCTTCTCTAATGTCATAAATTAGTCTTTCTTACTTACTTAAATTCTTACACTAAAAAATGAGAGCTTGAAGATCAAAATAAGGAATAAAAGTAAGATTATTTTATAAATGTGAAAATTTTAAATCAGGCGGTTTACAAAGATCAAACGAGCAAAATATTTACCATGCAGTGCCGAAGATTCCGTTCTGGTATTTACAAATGGGAAGCTTTAAGCGTTCGAAGAAAGAGAATATTTCTTCACAAAGGTATGAAACCTAGTAATTTCTAAGCTGCATTTTGGAAGGTGTAATATTAAAGAAAATAGTATAAATATATACAATGACAAGACATGTGCTTCTTAAATATAACAATAAGTACTATAACTTGTAGATAAATATATTATGTTTGTAAATTTATACCTTTTAGATGAAAATTCCACTTAGTCTTTTAAAGGCAATAAACAGTTTCTGATTATCACTTGTGTCACCAAGGGGTCTTCATGTCCAACAACATATCAATACTTTGTTACCACAAGGCAAAGGAATTTTCTCTGCTGTATCTTATTAGATGAGAACCTAAAGAAAGGAGGGAAAAGATTGCTTCATTTAATTTGAAAGCAAAAAGAAAAGTGCTTAAAATATTACTTATTCTAAAAAAAAACATAATTCATAAATCAATTTAAATCAGGATTTCTAAAGCTAGCTTCATTCATAACCTCTTTTGATCACGTGATGCTTTTTGCGAACACTTCATCAACGTCCTGTTCATTCTGTTTTCCCAATTTCTATATTAGTAACAAGATTTAATTATTTGAAAATTGCAATGCATTCGTGAAAAAAATTACGAAACTTAATTAAAAGAAGTTCTTTAAAATAAATTACATGTAGCTAAAAGCTAAACTTACGCCACATAACATTCAACAGTAAAATCACAAAATATTTAAAAACAGCATATCTATAGAAGTTACAGTAGTGGGTTAAGGGTTGCCATGCATATTTGTTCATATTCACTGTATTATTTCTCACAAAACTAGTCGCTCGAGCCTCCAGCTAATTAAAAGAGTCATCATAAAAAAAGAAAAGTATATAATGAGTCCAGGTAGTGTTATTTCATAAAAATATTTAAAATTTCTAAATAGATATCTCATAATTAAAATGCATTTTTATTTAAATCAATCAGATTAAAAAAGTAGAAAAAAATTTTAAGAGCTCTATTTATTGATTTTCAATAACTCATAATTTTGCTACTCAAAATTTGGAAGTTAAATATCTAATAAGTATTGTCAGGCAGTGGCAATACATTGCTTTCAGACAGCAAAATTTGTGGATAAATATCTTAAATTTTTACTGCTAAATTCGGTGGTTATAGGTGCTGTCGTTTTACCACAGTGTGAGAAACATATATACATAGATACAGATTCTTCATTGTTTTTTTATTTATTTAAAATAATACCAATATAAGCCTTAAAAACTCTTCCAAGAAAGCATTCATAATAAGCCAGACTTAACGAGCTTTCCTGCAATCGGTTGTTTAACCAACCACTATATACACCAAATAAGAATAGATTGTTACTGATAGAAATGAAAGCTACATACATAATTACTTGTAAAAGCATTACGACGTTTCTGAAATCCGTCAATTAACTTTTATGCGACCTTGTATTGGTTTATAATCTTATATTTTGATTACCTGATTTAAATAAACTGCTTTTTCTAAAATTTAACAAACAAAGATTTTAAGAGCAAAAGCACAGAATGAAGGCTTAAAACTGCTTTATATCATCATCAGAATACAAAGTATACATAAAAAAATCACCGTTCTGTATAAGATATATTATATAATATATATTGTGTATTATTATTGGTGAAAGGCTACATAATGATTTTCTTCTATTAACTTGCCTTAATGGCTATTATCAGATGATATTATGAAGAGTAAAATATTTTCAGATAAAATGTATGCTAGTCTCTAAACATAAGACTTTCCAAACCACACAAAAAGTCGAAATTTTCAACGGTTTATAGCAGCAAAATTTAGCGCTTATGCTGCAATGTTTCAACTGATAAAATTTACTGCGAAACTTAAAGTCGTTGATGATCAGGAATGAAAGAGTTCTTTAAAAAAGAATGACAAAATGTCTGGAAGAAATGTTTAAGAATATCATATAAGTTTTCTTTCTGTTTTCGTTTCAAATTTTAAAAGCACTTCTGAAAGGTAGTTTTCTAAAGAGCTATCAAAAGTTCTTAACAGACACGAAAAGATTTCTTTGCTTTTAAGATCCTGCTAAATAAGTTATCAAACATTTCTCCTCAGGATAAGATTAATCCAGTAAAAGAACTTATCTCTGAGCTTTCATTAAAATAAATATTATGTTGGGCCATAGACTATAATACAAAGACCTGCCAACATTCACACTTTGCCATGGCAATATTTCGAATGAGTTATCCCTCTTTCACAATTTAATTTCAGTTTACGAAGTTCAATTTCAGTTTTCAGGTAAGTCTGCAAGTCATATATGAATATCTTCTACTGTTTCAAGAAAATTTATGGCGATACAGAAGTTAATAACAGGTACGTATGCATATAAGCATATAAACCTTCTATTATTTCAGGTTGGTAGTCGTGTATAAGAACTTCAGTTTTAATAAATACACAGGTAAGTGTTAAACTAAGATATACGAAAACTTCAATTATTTCAGGTAAGTTATCACTGTTATTGAACTCCAGTACGCTAATTAATATAGAAGTAAGTCTATAAGTAAAGTACATGTATGCTTTCACTTCTTTCGAGTCAATTGTCGCCGTTACAGAGTTTACTAATTAAAGCACAGGTAAGTAGGAGAGTAAAGACTTAGCTTTAGCTTTTCTTGGCGAATCACTGTTGCCACTGGGCTCAGCTCAAATTATTAATGTATAGGTAAGTATAATAATAAGTATGCTTATATTAGAGCCACATTCTTATTGATACTAAAACTGAAGATAATTGCAAAACTAAAGCTTCTGATACTTGAAGGAACAGATAACAGCTATTTACGACGATTTAGTTCATTTAGTCCCTATTTATATTCAGTTTAACAACTCTCCAAGCTGCATACCACTGAATTATTTCTGAAACTGAATGGCATATTATTTTTCCTCAATCGAAGGTCCCTAAATCGCGAGTTTTAATCATCATGTTACTTCTAAGAACTGCTTGGAGAGAATACGCTTCTATCTATCTATCAATATATATCCTACGGCAACATTTTTAAATGCTCAGAAATGGCGCAAAAGCGCTAAGATATTTGCATAACACTGTCTATCATGAATTCAAAAGCACTCCAGTGTACTAGGTCCAGTATTTGCACTTACAGGTCCCATTCTGCTTATTAAATAAATGTGTAGGCTACTTTTGTATGAAATTGTCCACTGTTCCCTAAATCCCAAGTTCTCAACTTTTGTGGATTATTTATTAATCACACTCGCTAGCTATTCCAGCTCAATGGTCCAAAAAATGCAGAAATTTTACCGGATTTTGTTTTGTATATGCCGAAACCGCTGAAAGATAATATTTCTTCCTATGCTTTGTTTCCGACGTATTACATCAGTGCTCAAAATTAAAAGAATTGCATATTTCGACAGTTGTCTCGAACAATGCTGAACGAAAGAGTACAAATAAATCTTCCAAACAAACAAACAAACAAAAAATGCAGAACTTTATTATCGAATATGTAAGCATACACGTGTGTGTATCGAATACGCAAGCGTATACTTGCGTTTACGTTTTCAGGCGTATTTAGAGGAAGGGTCGTTGAAAGCGCAAGTAGTATATTCCGCGCTTCGGTGTTTCGCACACCTCAGCGACTTTTGAGGTGCCTTTTTCGCAACACTCGTTGAATTCAAACGCATGGAAGTTTAAATGAGTTACCACTAAAGTTAGATGATGGGATGAGAAGAAGAATCGTCCAGAGATTAGAAGCACTGAAGTCTCGAACACTAGAGACTTTAATATTACCTTGGACGTATGAAAACAGTTACAGGACACCGAATCCTTAAACAAAATGCCTGAGCAAAGTTGTATAAGAGCCAAGAAGGGCAGTATAAATCGAAGGCTATATGAGCGAGGTCTATTTGCAAGAAGACGTAAATTTTAATGTTACTTAATTCTGCGAACAAAGAGAGCTAGTTCAGCGTGGTGGAGAAAGCATTGACTTCGAAGAACGAAACATTAGGGGAAGACCAATCTTTCTTCACATACGAATCTCGATTCAGCACAGCCATGATTTTAGACGTGCCTTCATCAGGAAAGAAACAGGAACCTAGTACCTTTCTTTCATCATCAGAAAAAGGAACCAATACGGCAGTGAACGTTAGATGATCAAAGCAGGCATCATGTTGAAAAAGCGCACAGGCCTTTCTGTCTTTGAACAAGGCTCTGTCACTGCTTTGAGATGCGGGAAAGAGACCACAGAACTGTATGTTTGCGGTCTCAGGTGTGCAGATAGTTCTCAAGCTTATTTTTATGACGACAACACTCATCCATTAGATGATATTCAAGAAACTGAGGATTAACCGATGGATTGCCCAGCTAGGTGTCCGCTGAAAACATCACGGACGATATCCTCCTGGAAAAAACGCCGTCCAGCAATTCGCTGAAAGAAAGAAAGTAGATAGAAAGATCTAAAACATCGTCGGGACAGAATATAAAGCGATGCAAAAGTTCGCAGTTTTAAAGCATCGGCGTACAAAATACCGTAGTAAAAAATAAAGCACCTACAAATTGCATGATAATAACAATCGCATACATGCGTTTTCTAACTATAAATGCTCTACTTGGATTGTAGCGTAATGGTTTGTAAGAAGTAAGATGAAATATAATATTTCATTCTTTGTGCATTAACTGATATCCCCCCTCCCTGAAAAAGCATAAAAGAACTTCAACTATTAATGCTACATGTAAGAAGCTGATAGAATTTTAAATTTATGTTAACTATTAAAAAGTGACTATTTGATTAGCCTCTTTTATAAAGGCGTATTAGTAGATTTTTCTGAAAACAATGTGGCAAAAAAGATTAGAAAGAGGGAGATGCGTAAACTTAAAATTCTCTCAACTAAGTACATACATAGCATTAATTTTTACTAATTTCCATATTTCGAATGCTTAAATTTCCTTCTCGTTTTTTCAGTAAAAATTTATTACTTGATACAAAAATATGAAAGACAGGGGTAAAAATATTGCTGGTTCCTTCATGTGCTACTAATCACAAAGCATAAATTTACTTAAATGTTTTTGTCTGAAAAACGCATGACTGTAATGATTTTGATTTTTTACCGCACGATTTTTTTAAACACATGATGTGATGATTTTTATTTTGTAGTGCCATGTTTTAAAATAACGAAGTTTTTGCACCCCTTTATTTTTTTAGCACTATTTTTATATCACGATACTTTATATCACGGTGTTTTAGAGCAGACTTATTTTCTCTTTGCTTTCTTTTCTGATGTAATGTTTTCGCTTTGCGTGTGGTTTTCTTCGTAGCGTTTACGTCGGCGATGTTTTATTCTGTAACCGCCAGCCAGATCTTTACACGTAATA